GATGTCACAATTTAAATTCATAGCGATGAAATATTGTAAAATAACTTACAATAAATCATTGTCAAGAATTTTCCAATTCAACAAGGGATTAATTATAAGATAAACAAGTGTGCACCGAATATAACGATAATGTTATTACAGATCATCGGAGAATAGATGATTTTATAATCAACACGTTTTAATGGATAGTTTTCAAAACATTAATTAACTTGGAATGAGAAATATAATTTAAAATGATTGGAAATTAAATTCAACAAATCTCAAAGAAAAATGTTTGAAGATAATTTACCTCCTTCATTAACCCATTATCGTTAAATTCTTTTACATCGAGTAAAGTACCTTTATGAAAGTTAAAGATTGAGGAAGATATACAATTATATTCACGAGATATCAAAATTTAAAGAATTATTCTATATTTTTATTTTTCAATACCATTGGAAAACTAGAAACTTTAATTTGTGTCTTCAAGAACTTGTAACTGTACACCAAATGTAACGAGATAATAATCAAAATTCGAACCGATATGTGGTTATTTGTCTGGTTGTTCAATGTCGTTACATTTAAGTTCACAACCACAAAGAAACTCATTATACGACAAATGGTTCCTAATTTAGGGAAGTGGGCAGTAAAAATTAAAAAAAATGTTGGGAGAGATAAAAAGATTATTATTTTTTGTGACTTTGAAATTTTTTTTTTTTTTTAGTATTTATTGTAACATACTGATAATCTTTCATTTAAGATAGTGAAGGATGCTTCAGATTTGTCATTTGACCTTCGAATTTAACCATCAGGTTTCATTAAAAATATATGTTACTCAAATAATGGTTAAATAAATCTGATCTAGATTTGGTCCATATCACGTAATTTTTTTCTTATTTTATTTCATAAATTTTACGTTGATAGTTTGTCGATTATATATACATTTAGTAATAATACATCCTACAATTTTAAAATTTAAATTACATCGAATATGTCATTAACATCAAACGGGAGAGGTCGCATTCGAAGAATTAGATCAATTGAAAGGGTAAGACTTGGCGGGTAACCGTGAGACTCGATAAATAACGATTATCATCATCACACTCAAAAACCGTCGGGTTTTCCATAAAATTATTCGCATTGTCTGCGTGGCTGTAATTGAAATTGGATCCATATTGTTTGTGTCTCTGCCGGACGTTGGGTTAAAAAAGAAAGAACTCGTATTTATAGCGTAGGTATTCGTTGGTGAGACCGTGGTGGTGAATCGGCGAATTTTGGACACCATAGACATCACAGGTTTAACGAATACATGATTACGAGTTGTACTATTAATTATCGCATTTGCAATCCTGCGCTAGTAAAGATATTTGCCGCTGGAATTAAACTTATATATAGGAAGAGAATTAATTAGATGAATCTATTTCTCAATTTTATTTGTTTGAAAGGAAAGAAAGCTTTTATTAAATTGTGCTTTCTATTTAGAAGACCAAATATTTAAACCTTGATTAGCAAGACCAACGATAAGTTCTGTAAAAAGATTGGAAACGCGCGGTTAGGTAATACTTTGTGTGACTAAAAA